CCCAGGGAGGGGTTCCAGCAGCTCTGGGGAGCGCCCGTGATGGGAGCAGCTCCCTGTAATGGCGGCGCAGCTGGGTCCCCGCACTTGTGTCTTCCCCAGCAGAGCTTTATGTACAAACACATGCACGCACGCACGCACAACTCCCACCCCCACCCCCCCCAAGCTGTATTCCTCAGCCCCAAATTTAGAAAACTCGGTGTTCAACACGTGTGAGTTGTGCATGGGAGGACTCACACGGGCCAGGGGAGGGAGGTAAGCCAGACCCCCACAGAGCATTTCAGTTTGGATGCTGAAAACATGAAATTCAGGAATAGCCAGGCTTTGAGGATGTGCAGTTGCTTTAATTGTAAAGCAATTGCAATGAAATTTTGCAGAAAAAGCTTTAGACGTTAAGGTGTCCAAAACACAGGCCAAAACTCTGTACTGTACATAAGCTAGGTTTTGATCTAACAGTATGTTTCACCAGATTTTCAAGAGCTGTTTTGAAGAGTTTGATTTTTGGTTTAGATTTACAAGGCAACTTGTCTAACTGTCATCAATATCTCAATACAAAAAAATCTTACAACGCTTTATTTGCTAAAAAACAACATTAAAATTGGGGTTAGGTTTTTTCCTTTTGCCCGTTAACTTGTTAAGAGAAGCATCCCATAGTCCACTGCTAGAGGTTGATGTAATACTTAATAAGTTACACAAGTTCTGTACATAATTACAGTCATAGTAGAGTATGCAGCTGTGTAATACACCACAGTACAACACCATGAGGGCAAAGAACTACTATATATGAAAACTTTTTGTTTGAGATTTTATACTTTATTTGACCAACAGTCAATTTGATATCCTCATATCAGGAGACTGACATCCATCTTTCTTAGGCACTGATCCAGGCAGAATGGCCTTGCAGAAAAACCTGTCTCTTTTGCTAAACTCACACATTATGAACAAAAAATTATGTAGCTCAAAGTCCTTACTCTATAAAAATAATTATTTGCTAGTCTCATGCTTACCTTCAAATACATGAAGTATTTGAATAATTTCACATTCTCTTTCTGAATTAGGTTCACTGCAATATTAGATCAGGCAGAAACTTCAAAACCTTAGTCAAGTATGACTCAACCAACTGTATATATTTCAGCTGCAACAAAAAAGTCTGCCTAAATACAACTCAAAAAAAAAAATGTTTGTACCACAGCAGATCAAGCTAACTAACACCAAATATTTTTTCCATGGTGAAAAAAAAAATGACTACCATAAGTTTTAGCACAGGATATTCAGGGAAAACATATTGTAAGACCATGCTTTGTAAACATTTCTACAAATCATTTGGAGACTTTGGAATGAATTTTCAAATACCTGGCATTATGCAAGGCAGCTAATGCTATGAAAACAAGCAACTTTAACATGAAGTTACAACAGCGAGAGCAGTGAAGGTTCCTGCATCAAGTAGTTAAAACTGGATATTAATTTCTATTTTATTATAAAGTTTATAGCAGTACAGAGTCCAGCATGGCACAATAAGTAACCTTGTTACAGTTGCAGTATTTGTTTTCGCTTGGTACAAAAAGCTGAACAGCAGCCTAATTGTTATACTGAATCCAGGATTGGAATAAATTTGTTTCTTCTGAATAGGGACGAGTCAGTGATTTTAAATAAAAAGACTGCATTTTTTAAAATCTGAAATATGTGCAAATTCCTTTCAGTACAGTAGAGAATATGGTAGAGATGTGTGCAATCTTGAAAGTTTCGTCCCAACTCAAGATACTGCCAATATATTGCAAACAATCGCATAGAGGGTGAACTCCGAATGGTTACTCATGACTTCCAGTATTATTTCCAAGAGTCCTTCTCACAGCTGGTGTTCTCTCCCTACCCCGCTTTATGTCCTTTTATGCAGTGCATCAAGTACTGACATTCATAATTATTGTAAAAAAAAATTGGTCCATGATAGTTCTAATAAGTTTCCTTCAGGAATTCCAGTAAACTCTCCATCCTAAGACAGCTGTAACTGTTACAATAGATTTATGAAAGCAAATGCAATCTGAGAGATGAAGGGCTGTGAAGATTAGTATTGCCATTTTCCTAAGGTCTTCAACAGCTTTTAAAAACACAGAAAATGGATTCTGATGTTATTGTTTGGAAAGTCCCTTGGTTTTGGTGCTTTAGCCTTGATGTGATTTTCTGTTTTCACATATTGTAGGCAACATAAATAGGATCCAACTGGTCAGCTAAAAATCCGTCTCTCAAGTGCATTCGTTGTTTCTCACCACGGGAATTGATAGGAATAACACCGGGGTCCACAATGACTACAACACCGACTATAAGATAATGCTCTTCCAGAACCACATTTGTTACCAGCGCAACCAGGTCCAATGCTTCTTGTTCTGAGCCTTCTAATTCCACGACCACCACTAGCAAGTTGGTCCATGTAAACACAGCGCTGTCAGCATGATACAGATATTAATGATGAGAAAAAAACCCCCATAGTCAAAGGAAGCTAGTTATCAAAAAGGGACTCACTGGAAATAAATTTTGTAAGTACTTGAACAATGTAATAAATTAGAAAATATGAAAATATTTGTATATCAAGAGGTATTAAAGCTGTAATTTCTTGGGATATTCTCTGCCACTTGTTTTTTAATTGTCCATGTACAAAATAAATGTAAGTAGGTCTTTTTCTCTTATATGTACACAAGTCATGTATTTAAGAGTCTTTTGCACAGGAACCATTAAGATTTTACATTCAGTTTGTGCATACTTGATATTAATGTACTTGTGCGAATCTTCAGAGATTATTAAAGACAAAACCCCCCAAGGATTACCAGTAAACACTACCACTTTGAGACTGAAGAGGACCTACAGCCAAATGGCATGCATCATCCATTAGGACCAAATGAGAATAATATATATTAGAAGATATCATTCAAGAAATCCTTGAGATATATTTACCATATCCAAGTGCATACATTCTGACACAGCCAGGGAAGTCAACAACACAACTTGGGTGTTCTGCTCCCCAGTTCATGCCTTACCCTCTCTGTCTTTCAAACTATGAAGATCAAACTCTGATAAAGGGGTGGGTGGTTTTGTTTTGCGTTTGGTTTTTTTGGGGGGGGCAGCAGAGGCAGGGGAAAGAGGGGTGTTATATTTCAGTTACTCTCACTGCAGTCATTTCTAAGCAAAGTTTTGGTGAGTTCCCTCTACAGCAAGCTCTCAGTCAAGCATGCTGTTCCACAAAGCTTCACTTTTGCTGCTTTACAAGAAATAAAATGTTACTGAAAATAATACCCAGGCTCTTACCATTCTGCAATACTCTTATGTGCTCTTATTACAGACGTCTCTATATCAATGGGATGGTACCTCATTCCTCTGAGTTCCAGTGTTTCATCCAAAGAGCCTACCACATATAGGGCATCGTGCCTCTCTGCAATATAGCACAGACATTTAGAACATCATCAGATCTACAGAACAAACACGGTCATTTGTACATGCTTATTCCGAACATTCTAAGATGTTCCTGGTGCTTCCTAGGAGAAGGAGTCTATAATACACATAAAGCTCTACCATTTGGAGAGAAGAGAAGAGAATTAAGAGGTCATTTAGCACTTCCACCTATTGCCTCCAGGCTAATGAAATCAGACTAAAAAGAATTTCTGGGTCATCCAATTCTGCCCCTTCTCTCATGTAATCTCAGTTCATAAACCCAATCAGAAACCATTGTTAAAGTGTCTTTTTGTTCCACTATTCTTACCAGAGAACTTCTCTCCTCTGATCAATAGACTTTTCCAATTTCCAAATTTAACTTTTTTTTCTTTTTAAAACCAGCTTATACCTACTTGTCCTCATGCCAGCAAGATTATTCTCAGCTTCTGAAGTTCCCCACAGTTAATGCAGAAAAGAAAAACTCTATCCCTTCCTCAGCCTTAGCTTTGCTAAGTTAATGAGTAAAGCTCTCCTAGACCCTTTGTGTAGGACATGCTCTCCACATTGCCACATTCATCCTGTAACTGTTCATTTCAACTTTACTTTTTTTTTTTGCACCCATTTTATAATTCTGCTCAGTCATGTAACTTGAGACAAAAAGCGCGTTGGGAAGATGCACTGTATTTCATACATACGTGCTATGTTAATTCACCATACATAGCCTTTCAAATGCTGACAAATTAAAGGACAACTGACATTGTTCCACAGTGATGAAAATCTCTACGATACATTTTTCTTTAGAAAGCTACAAGGTGCAAAAACTTGCTTTAGTAATCTGGTGCCTTGCCACCTGCAACTTCTTTGTGAATGTCTGCTCACAGATTCCAATTTCTGTCAACTACCAGCTTTCTTAAGAACAGGGAGCCATTTTGAACAGTGACAGAAGGACAATTCCGACAAAGTATCCAGTGCAGAACTTTGCACTAAGCAGCAGCACAGTGTGCTTGGGAGGTCAGGTAACTACCCTAGAAAATCAGAGAGGAGGAAAGCAAGGAAAGGTTAGAGCACCTTAGCTGAGTGGTCTTTTATTGTGCTCTACCAGCTCTGAAAGGGAAGATGACATGCAGTAAAAGCTTTTTCAGGGAGCTGGATCTGTATTACATCGGCTCCTACCAATAGCCTGAGACCACATTCCTTCAGTAACAGAGACTCCAGAGGGCTCTCAGCAGAAAAAGGAGCAGTTTTTCTTCCATCTGCTTACATTTCCCAAGCTTAGACATCTTGGCTTAGATTGAAAAAAATGAGATTAGCAATTTATTTTCTGTACTGGAAAAATTATGGAGAAGTTACTGCTCTAGACCTTTTACTTCTGAAAGGCTGGGAGATCACTGGTATTTGTGCATGTCCTAAAACTGCTGAATGACATTATTCGTATTCTCTAGATCAGCACTGAAATACTGCATCCTGTCTGTAAGGAAAGAGGTTCAGAGGAAAAGTAAATAGAAAGGCTCTAGTACTTCTAACAAATATGTTCATATTTTGTTTAAGTGGAAATAAAGGAAGATGAACATGTTTTCTGAATCTGTCGAAAGGGCATTATGAATTTCTCATTTTGCACAATTACCTAGTATAATGATAATCAATATGTACAGAGTAACAATTCCTGTTACATTCAGCACTTTTCTGTGAGGGAAGTCAGGATGAACTTGCAGGACAGCTTACTCTTTGCTAGCTCAACTACCCCAAAGAGTTTCAAACATGTGTTTCTGTAAATACACTCATTTTCTCTCACCTCCACTAGCATCAGTAAGTTCTGTTCTGCGCAGAAAGCCAAGGTACCCAGTCCGAGCCCATATGGTCCGAGTGTCTCCAAAACTCAAGCGAGCAGTAAAGTGATCAGCATGCAGTGCTTCTTCTCCATACACTGTGTAGTAACCAGTAGCATTGTGCGGACTACTCACCCATATCTAGGGGATTTAAAAAAAAAAACAAACCAAACCAAAACAAGAGGGAATCATTCCCATATAAACAGAGGTTATTTTGCCAGACCTAGGCAGCGTAATTTCTTGATTTAAAAGATCTGTTCCACTGATAATTTTTTTGCTCCTAAAATGCCAGTAGTAGTTTTATTAAAATAATTAACTAACTTCTGCCTCACAGAAAATTATCAGGGAAAAGGAGTAAAAAGGAGGTTTATATAGATGTAATTGGGGATGATAAAGATGAAAACTGAACTAGGCATTTGGCTTACCGGAAAGGAACACCTGTTAACCTGCCATTGTCAATTAGTTGGGTGTCTTAGTATACACAAATACAGTTGTATATAAAACAAAAGATTAAACCAAACAGTAAATTACCTCATTACTACTGTCCACTGATGGGAGCACGTAAGATATTCGCTGCCTCAGACAGACTAGTCAACTAATACCACCTGGTACTGGCATGCAGGAGTTTGGCAGAGGAGGGAGGAAACCATGCAGACATACATACAAGTATGTAAACAGTTCCAGCTCTCTGTAGAGTTCATTCACTTGCCACATTATGTGGCCATCCTACAGGCATTGATCAAACATGACTTATCTATATATTAAATTACTGC